GGTAAAGATTGAATACAACTAAGATCAAAGGCTTATTCTCTCTTGATTTTCTTAGAGCTTGATATACTAATGCTTCTTAGAAAAATCAAAAGGCTCGTGGATTCCCTGGTGGTCCAGTGGTTAGACTTAGTGCTTTTATTAACGTGGCCCAGGTTCAGTCTCTGGTCAGGGGTCCCACAAGCCTTGCACACAGCTCCCCCCAACCCCAAAAAAGAAAAAAAAAAAAACCGAATGGCTAGAAAAAGGATTTACATTTTCTGATATTTAAATACTGTTAATATTATTTTTGGCAGTAGAATTATTTAATGGATTAGGAAGAAAAAAAGCATCTTTGTTGAGCTTCTCCAAGTGAAGCACATTAGAGGACTGTACCTATTGATTCTTGTGTATATAAACGCCTCCGTCTGTCAGCCCTCATAAGCCCATGCAGCAGAAACCCTGAACTTCAAGTCCCTCTCTTTCTATTCATGAAACGAGGGCATTTTTTTGTGTGTGTGGCTTCTTGGCATGTGTTAAGTGTTAGTCGCCGAGTCACGCCCAACTCTTTGCAGCCCACCAGGCTCCTCGGTCCATGAGATTTTCCAGGAAAGGATACTGGAGTGGGTTGCCATTTCTTTCTCCAGGGGATCTTCCCGACCCAGGGATCGAACCTGGGTCTCCTGCATGGCAGGCAGATTCTTTACTGCCTGAGCTACAAGGGAAGCACTTAGCTCCCCGACAAGGGGTGGAACCTCTGCCCACTGCACTGGGAGCAGAGTCATAAGCACTGGGCCACCAGGGAATCCCCCAAGGAGGGCACTTTTGGTGAGGTGCTCAGAGCAGCGGTCGACGGACTGGGTGCCTAGGTCAGACTCCAGGCCTCGCGCCTTACTTAGCAGCATCTTAGCCAAGTCATTGCATCTCTCTGGCCTCAGCTGCCTCAACTGTAAAACAGGGTAACAGTGCCCACTTCTTGGGCTTACGAGGGTAACTATGGAAAAGCACTTACGAACAATGCACGGCATATTGTGTGCACCCAGCACCAACTAGCATTCCATAGTGTTGTCAAAGACAGGATTTTCTTTCCCCTATACTCAATATCAACACTGATTAAAAATCTTGGAAGTAGTTATTTCAGATTAGATTTTCCAATCAGAAACAGGATTTCATATATAACATCTTATGCTAGCCCATTCGGAGAACTCTGAGTGTACCTGTAAAGTCATTATATGGTGGAATCTTACTAAGAATCAAAAGGTGGACTGTTAGGAAAAGAATTTTTGGATGGCTGGGGATTAGGGCCAGAGCAGCAAGAATCAAAATCTTGAGCTTACTGAAGTAAGTTCTACAGCCAAAACAACCATGTCCCCATCAAAAGTATGGAGGGATGAAAGTGAAGTCGCTCAGTCGTGTCCGGCTCTTCGTGACCCCATGGACTGTAGCCTACCAGGCTCCTCCGTCCATGGAATTTTCCAGGCAAGAGCACTGGAGTGGGTTGCCACTTCCTTCTCCAGGGGATCTTCCCGACCCAGGGATCGAACCTGTGCCTAAGTCTCCCGCATTGCAGGCAGACGCTTTGTCATCTGAGCCACCTGGGCAGACCATGGAGAGATGAGTTAAAAAAAAAAGCAGATCCCACTTAAAGAGAGAAATGGATCCTCATTTCCCTAATATGAGAGCTGGTTAATTAGGACAAACACATTTATCTAAAGAAACCAGCAGGTCTGATGAAGCAGTGATATGCATGCACAGTATATGCAACCTCACAAATGTGAAAGACCATGCTTCCTTTTCAGGAAAGAGACCATTCTGATCCCAGAAAGATAAGTTATGAACATGCCTGAAATAAAATGAGATCCTTACCAAATCATGAGCACATGACACATGCTTTTAAACTGGCAGCTAATATTCTTGAAAGCAATGGTTTAACAATGGTTATAAATAACATCCTGCTCAAATAAAACATAATACTGAATATTATTGTTGTTGTTTAGTCACTAAGTCATATCCAACTCTTCTGCAATGCCATGGACTGTAGCCAGCCAGGCTCCTCTGTCCATGGGATTTCCCAGGAAAGAATACTAGAGTGGGTTGCCATTTCCTTCTCCAGGGGATCTTCCCGACCCAAGGATCAAACCCCAGTCTCCTGCGTTGGCAGGTGGATTCTTTATCACTGAGCCACCAGGCAGGCCCAATGCATATTATACTTGATTACAAATTACATCCAGTCCGCATGAATTGAATGCATACCATACTTTAATAATCAAGACAATTCAGCTATTTTTCTTGAATATATTTCAGACAGAGTTCCCATATAACCCGTACATAACAATATTGCTGTGTTTTTATTCATTTTATAGTTAAGGGTCCAAAATATATTATGTTCACAAAATAGTACTGTCTGTGAATGTCAACCAGTTTTTAATGTCTATTCCATCAGAAATATGCCACTCTGAAAAAGAAAAGAAATATGCCACTCTGGCCACATACGCTAATCTGTATTACCAAAACTAAACAAAGATGATAATTCAGAGTCTCACCCCCACATATAAGTTCTAATTGCCCTGAAAACCTCTAGGTCAAGTTCTCAACCTTTGAAAATGATCAGAAATATTCCAGAGCAGTCACCATAGCCATGTATTTGAGCTTCATATTTACACATTATTTTGTATACTTATATGTATTTATAGTGGTGGATTTGAGACATGAAAGTGACCACACACAAGAAAGCTAAGTCCCATATCAAAAACAAGTGAAAAAGAAACTGAAGAGATTTTGTGATTCCAATAGCACAGACTCCAGAAACTGAATGCTTAGACGTAACTCCTACATTTTCTTTAACTAAGAGGTCATCGCCATGCTGACGGCTTTGAGGCAGTAGTCTATATATCAGTGTCGTTAATCGAAGAGTGTACTTACTACCATGAACTTGGGTCTGATGCCATAGCATTAACTTTGCCTTTCCCCCAAAGAATCATTTGCTCTTGAAGTAGTAGGCATTTAAGGCACATTTTAACAAAACCCATCATATACCCAGCTTAAAAATGGAAGCTCCACCTAGTTACAATAATATATATACCTAAGTAACGTGTGATTTACCAGTTAGGCAAATGTCTCTATCTTGAGGATAAAGTTGTTTTAGAAAAGTGATTCTGTATTTGCACATTCAGAAAGAAACACTGTGTAAAAAATATTAAAGAATTAGATTTGTAAGAATAGCCTCCAGGTACCATGTTGGTTATAGGTTTGGAAATTAGGAAAAAGACTTCCCTAGAGCCCTGGGATCCTACATCAGCGCTTCTGAGCAGGAATCATGAGGAAGGGAGTTTGGGCACCTTCATGATTTTTACAAATTTCCTTCCAAAATGCACAGATCCTTGGGAGGGCTCAAACCTCAAATCAGCTACCACCTCAAATTGCAGTTTCCAGTCTCAAAGGAATAGGACTTGGGAAGAATGGATGAGGAGAGGATAGAAAAGAAGCCACGGATGGTCTCAAGGAAAAGTTGCTTTAGGAACTATCCATTTTTGCTAGCATCAGCATTGCTATCCCTACGAGGCTCTGCTAAAAATATATACATATGAATATTTTCTAATACCTGCCAACATGCTTTAGGGCACTGAGCCTTGGGATAGACTAGAATTATCTACTTGGAATGGTTTGGGATGGGGGTAGATTTAGAATCTCTTCACGTGCTGTTGGTCTAAAGTACACATAGGAGGAAGAATCTCATAGAAACAGACATAGCTAACTACAATGCCTCCTCTGGTCATCCTCGCCCACTGCCCTGTAGCAGTTTTCAGGATGGCTTTTTCAGCCATGCAGAGCACGCTGCCGGCGAGCCGAGCCCTGGCTCAGTCGTAAGGTGGGGACAAGCAGAGTCCATGAGGCACCCTGTCACAGCTGAGGAGACTCAGAGGTGACAGATGTGTCCGCCAGGATTCAGTTCTCTGGCCGAGAACTGAAATGTTGCCTGTGGTTGTGGAACAACGTAAAAAAGAGAAAGAAAGAAACTGGTCCTAAATAAACATTTGGATTCTTGCATGGCAAGAGGCCCATCCCACAGAGGCGAAAAATTGTACATATTTTTAAGTTGGATATATTTTTAAATCTGCAAATGCCAGTCACCTCCATTTGGGAAAACATGTAGCTTCTGAGATTACTTTAGCCTGGGTGGCAGGTACAGAAAAGCCTTCGGAAACCCTGCAATTCAGCGACATTCCCATTTCTCTCCAGTGATTGGCACCATTTTGGAAATATGGTCCCAAACGACAGCAATAACACAGCAGAAAGAAAGACCCTCTCTGTATAAAGTGGTTTTAGACATGTCTGTTGAGGTAAAGAGTTTTATAAAAAACTGTCACGTAGGGAAGCGCTCTCACAGTTATAGAAATGTTTAGATAAGTTTGGTGCTAATGTTATTCTATAAAACTTCTATTTATATCCGTTATAAACAGGGGACAGGTCTTATTGCTCCTGGAGCTTGCCGCCCCAAGCTGTTCCTCCATGGAAAAATGATTTTTCTCAACAATTGGTAGCAAAGATTCCCATGCTTAAAAAAGTCATTGCTAATGCATCATTTTTTGATTAATTTCCGTTTGCCCCATAGATACGGACTCAGTATGCATGTCCTAGACACCAAGGACAGAACAAAGCTTAGAAAAGTTGTTTTATCAAAGTTTAGTTCCATGAGAAAAAGAAAACATGAAAAAGTGCAAAATATATACAGTTCCTGGCAGTACGCACACAGGATTTTTTCTGACTACAGACCATAAAAGTTTACATTTGTGTAATGAAGTTACAGTAGATTTCACTTCATTGTTAATATACAAGTTTTTGCTTCAAAGTGCTTACTTTATTTAAAAAAGAGAAGATTAAAAGAAAGGGTGGCAGGATTTTTTTTTTTTTACAGCAAACGTATGTCTTGTGTCCCCATCTCCTTCCTCCTCTTCCTTTAGTGCAACACAGGGCAGCAGCTTCATTGAAACGTCTGATTTCAAAAGATGTTCCTGAAATCTCACCTACAGCAGCACCCTAGGCGTGCCGTTGGGGGTGGCTCCTTTCTTCTTCTGCAGCCGATTCTGAACCTTTCGCGATTTCACTACTTTCATTCTCACCTCAAACACTTCATGGATGGCCTTCCGGAAGCAATGAAAATTATAGTCAATCAACCCTGGAGAAGAAAACAAAAATGTTTCTAAGTGTCACCTAGAAGCCTTTCAAGTCAGCCATAGCAAGGAGATGCCCGTAGGGGGCGCCGGAGGAGAAAACATAAGGTCCATAGACTTGCCTAGGTGGTTTGCAGCGTGCTTCAGGCATCGCAGGCAAAGTCTTGTGAAGATGTATTTTCACAAACGAACGGTTCCAGAGCATATACCACGTTTTCAAAAGTGTCTATGACCCCAAAGTTTTTTTTTTTTTTTATTAGTTGGAGGCTAATTACTTTACATCATTGCAGTGGTTTTTCTCATACATTGAGATGAATTAGCCATGGATTTACATGTATTCCCCATCCCGGTCCCCCCTCCCACCTCCCTCTCCACCCGATCCCTCTGGGTCTTCCCAGTGCACCAGGCCCGAGCACTTGTCTCATGCACCCAACCTGGGCTGGTAATCTGTTTCACCCTAGATAATATACGTGTTTCGATGCTGTTCTCTTGAAACATCCCACCCTCGCCTTCTCCCAGAGTCCACAAGTCTGTTCTATACATCGGAGTCTCTTTTTCTGTTTTGCACATAGGGTTATCGTTACCATCTTTCTAAATTCCATATATATGTGTTAGTATACTGTAATGGACTTTATCTTTCTGGCTTACTTCGCTCTGTATAATGGGCTCCAGTTTGACCCCAAAGTTTTGAAGAACCAGCTGAACTGCCCTTTTAAAAAATCTTTCAGAATTAAAAACTGTAAGAACAATTAAGATCTATCTTCAGTGAAATATTTATTATATCTTTTCCCCAAAAGGCATTATTAAATTGACTCTGAACAGAGGCGGACCTTGACTTGGAGGTCAGCTTACATCTCCAGGTCACAGTCCCCATCAATCAGCATTTACTGAAAAGATATTCAGGAAATATTTAAGCTACTGTCATAAGCCCTAGGGAAAACAAAGTCCCCAATTTCAGAGGGGTTATCATCGCCTCAGGTCAACTCTGAGCTAAGAAATTCAACGATCAATGACACTCTCAGTGTTTCAATATTAAGTAAATTTTAAACGGCCAACAGTATGGGAGAATTTTCTTGCGTTTTGAGAAATTCATGATACAAAAATAGAATAAGATATAATCCAAGTCCTGAGCCCATTTCAGAGCATCAGCACTAGCATGTAAGTACTGAGAGCAGTATTCTGTGTATATCAGTCTAAGGCGGTGGGTTCACCTTACTACCTTTGAAAGTGAAAGTGAGAGCCACTCAGCTGTGCCTAACTCTCTGAGACCCACGGCCTGCAGCCTGCCGATCCTCCAGGCAAGAACACTGCAGTGGGCTGCCATTCCTTCTCCAGGGGTCTTCCTGACCCAGGGATCACGAAGTTCAAAGTGTACTGCTTTTAAACTTATTAAAATAACTAGCCCCCAGAACATTTCCATCCACTCAGGTGATGCTTCCGGAGCCCCAACCTCCCCCCAAAATAAAAAATAAACAAATGAAAGTGGGATGGGGACTGCAGCCAAGGCAAGCAAGGCTTCCAAGCAGCCAGGTAACTGACCACAAGCGCCCTGTAAAAACACCCCCTCAGCTTCCAGGAGCAGGAGCCCCGCGTGGTGCCCTCTGCTGCTTCTGCCGTGACAGCGACCACAGCGCCACAAATCTAAGAGAGCGTCTCCTCGGGAAGAGACCGGTGAGAAAGAGCGGGAAAGAAATAAGAAATAAGGGAGCCCAGGTGGGGGCACTTCTCTGCTGGCGGCTTCCTTTGGCGCGCAGACAGGCACTGGGGCCATGGGAATTAAAGCCTCTGAGGCTGCCCCCCATGACGGGCTATGAGAGCTGGTGGACAAAGTTGTCGTCTTGCATACCCAGTGGGGCTGAGTCTAAGTTTTTCTGCACACATAGCTTCTCCAAGATTCCCTCAGCAGAAGTGAGCGTAAGGGAACTCCCTGGTGCACCAGTGGTTACGATCCTGCATGCCTCACGGCGTAGCCAAAGAAATAAAAGAAAAAATTTTAAAGTAATACAAAGCATTTAAAAAGTATTTTTAAAAAGAAGTGCGGATAACGCTGCCACTGAAGATAGCTTTTCTCCCTCCCTTCTCTATTTCCCCACTTCCTCACTTTTATTTCTTGGAACCATCTCCCAAATGAAACATGACATTCAAAAAAAGAAAGAAACAGGGACCAAAGACATGATTTTATTTAGTGAGAGTTTGAGTAAGGTATGTGAGCGCCACCTCAAAACTCTACCTATGTGTCCCACTAACTGCCTTAGGCAGAAAGCTTAGCTAAAGAGCTTTGGCTCAATGAGAACTCAACTCGAGGAAATTTCAGAGAGAGACGACTGATGATTCCCGACACATGTCAACTTATTCATCTGTGCACGTTTAAAACACAACAGTAACCTTGCTGCATTTGGAGTTTTAAAAGTGAAAATTCACAACTGAGGTTTTTAAAGGAACTGCATACAAAGAGTGCTGTTTATTTCACTCTTTCATAAAAGGCTGTTGACAAATATAGGAACAGAGACATGAACAGAATAAGCACTATCTTTAGCACCATACAAAGTTAAGGGATGGTCCCATATCCTTCTATAGGTTCAGTGATTTTCAGTCATAGCTGCACGTTAAAAGCATCCTGGAAATTTTTATAAAATGAATGAACCCCAGGCTCTTCTCCCAGGAACTCTATTCTAGATGTTCGGTGGTGGGCCCAGATGGCTGTATTTTTTAAGCACCTCCCTTTCCAAGAATCCCACTTCTGCTTTCCATCCTCCCCTTTCTGCCAGAGCAGTCAAAGATGATCCCAGAAAATGCAGACAGAAACCAACATGAGGAGAAATCAATCAATAAGTGTCGATTATCCATAAAACTAACAGGACTCACTACTGAGATTAAGGCAGCAAAAACCAAGCGAACCACTTCCTGCATGTGTAAGGCATCAAGCTCTTTATAAAGCTAGGGTGATTGATTCATCACATTTGCCTGGGACTTTTCAAGTTTCAGCCCTGAAGATCCTTTTCTCAGGAAACCCCCTTCCTGTCCCAGGCAAATGGAGATGGTTAGTCACCCTAAAAAGCAAACAAGTTTAATGTGATATGACTGAGAAACTTACCAATAATATTTCCTTTTTGCTCATTATTTCTAAATTTTCTAAATGAATCTACTACTTTTTAACAGAAAGTAATAAAAATCGTAATTATGCTTTTATGTTCCAAAGAATTAAGAAAATTTTCAGGGTACAAATAAGTGAAAACAAAAGGATAAAAAATTATATAGACAAAATGGCACCAGTTTTGTTGGAAGAAAGGAAGGAAAGAGGGGATAACAGAAGAAAAAAGTGACAGGAAGGCAGAAAAGGACAAAGAAAACCCCAGAAATTTAACACGGGGTTCAGCTCTAAGATGGTGAAATTCAGTGATTTTATTTTGCTCTGTATACTTTAACTTTTCAAAGCATTTTTAAATAATGAACATGTATTACTTATAAGAAAAAAAGGCTATTTCAGAAAATGTTATTATTGCTACTTTGTTGGGAATTTAGGGTAATGGTTTAGTCACCAAGTTGTGTCTGACTCTTGCAACCCCATGGACTGCAGCCTGCCAGGCTCCTCTGTCCATGGGATTCTCCAGGCAAGAATACTGGAGTGGGCTGCCAATTCCTTCTCCATTTAGGGTAAATCATCTCCTAATTACTAGCAAAAATCCTTAACTACATCAGTAAGCTGTTATTTCCCAGTTTAGATGGGGGGCAGGGAATATGAATATCTTTAACAGGTTAATTGCTTTTATTTCAAAATAAAACTCAATTTGGTCCTAAAAAATATTTGGTGACGTTATTAAGTATACTAGTATCTTCCCTTTTTTGGACTCACAATGCCACCCCTGTGTTTTAGGACTAAAGAATGGACAAGAGCTGAACAGAAGTTTAAAAAAGTCTGGCTTTAAGACTGCATGAGTTTCACCCTTTACACGGGGAGGACAGGTGGTCTCAGCGTCCCTGAAGCCTTCTAGAAGTGAGAACCAAGACGGAGGCCTTGGGCCTCCCTGGGGTAAGGGGCTCTACAGCCAGGCAGTAACACCCCAGCTGGCTTCGCTCCCGGAAAGCCTGAGGCCCCTCCCTGGGAGGGGGGTCTGGTTCCACTGCCACCTCACGCTGCTGCACGGATCCCCAAACCCCACTGGTGGGGGCGGGAGCCAAGGGGAGCCCGCGACTGAAATCTGGCAGCCTCCAGAGGCACGGTGCTGTCCACCCACATTCAACGAGCAGGAAAGGCAGGACCCGTGTGAATGGGAATGCTCCATTTAAACCACACACACACAAAATTACCTTTTCTCTCAAAGCTTTCCTCTCTGACAAAGCACACAAGAGCCAGGAACTTTGTCACCTCTTTTAAATAGAGAACTGTTGTATTATTCAGCTTTATAATGGCTGTTGATTCCTTGTCATAGGGGGTTCCTGCTCCATCTTCTTTGAGGCTAAATGGGAACAGAAACCAAAACATATTTGACCATTAAGAACTACAATTTGTTACCCAGCAACAAGACCGGATTATCACAGAGTGATACCCATAACGACAGGGAGTTTACACTTACAGTGCCTTTCAGCTAAATATCTCAGAAACACCCAACCCCAAGAATGTACAGTGCATGACGGTCAGGGTCCTGCTGACACCCAAGTGGCTGAACTCTCCCTGCACCTGAGTGACCGATGGAGGCCAGCTCTCCTCCTCTCCGCGGCCCACGAGGGCTTCCTGTTTCCTCGTGACAGAAGAACCAGGCTGTCTAAAGCACAGCCTGAAGACCAAGAAAGGGTGAAGAACTTTCCCAAAATAAAGCTGCCTGAAGAGGCGGCCAAGTGCTGGGCTAGATCCCTCATCTAGGGGAAAAAACTGCGATAAAAGAAAGAATTGGGACCACTGATAAAATTTAACAAAGGACTCTATATTAGATAATAGAGTCATGAAGTCATGTTAAATAGACTTAATTTGATATTAAACTGTGGTCCTGTAAGAAAACGTCCTTGTTATTAAGAAACAGACGTTCAAGTATTAACAGCTATGGTCAAAGGATCATGATCTGTAACTTACTCCCAAATGGTTTAGCAAAAACAAATGTGTATGTTCAGTCATCCCTATGGAGCAGGCTTAGGGCCTGGGGTTGGCTCTAAGACTCCCCTCAGCAGATACCCAAATCCAAAGATGCTCAAGTTCCTATGTATCTGCATATAACTTACCCACATGCATGCGTGCATGGAGTTGCGTCATTCATGTCTGACTCCTTGCAACCCGATGGACTGTAGTCCACCAGGTTCCTCTGTCCAAGGGAGTCTCCGGGCAAGAAAACTGGAGTGGGTTGCCACGCCTTCCTGCAGAGGATCTCCCCGACCCAGGAATCGAACCTGTGTCTCTTGGTCTAACTGCCCTGGCAGGTGGGTTCTTTACCTGTAGTGCTACCCGAGAGCCCCAACCTACATACATCCTCCCACTTTTTTACTTCCTTTTGGCATTCGGGATCTTAGTTTCTCGACAAGGAATCGAACCCATCCCTGTGCAGTGAAAGCCCAGAGTCTTAACTGCTGGACCATGAGGGAAGTCCCACTCCTCCTCCTCACCATATACTTTTAATCATCTCTAGATGACATAAAATGCCCAATACAATGCAAATATTATGGAGATAGTTGTCAGCGTGCAGCCAATTCAAGTTTTGCTTTTTGGAACTTTCTGGAACATTTTTCTGAATATTTTCAATCCACTGGTTGGTTGAATCTGTCAATGTGGAACTCACATAGGGAGCCAACTGTATTAGAAAAAGAGTGAGCAAATATGGCTCACTGATAAAAACTGGTGAATCCCAGAGAAGGGTATATCGGAGTTCACTGTACTATTCTCGCATATTTTCTATAGATTTGAAATTTTTTCAAAATAAAAAGATAAATAAATATTTAAGAAAAGGTGTGACCTGCAAACACAAATTACTTGGGTTTGAATCCCAGCTCTCTCATTTTACTGTATAAATTTGGGCAAACTGAATCACTTCTTTGAGCCTCGATTTCTTCATTGTATATTAGCAGTGATTACTTCAAAGTTTCCTAATGCAATGAAATAATATATACTTAACACTAAGCATAGTGCTGAGAGCATATAAAATGTACAACGTTAACTGCTATTATCATTATTGATATGACCTTTGTGATCAAAACTGGGCCCTCTGAAGACACTGCCATATCCAGTTATGTATCTTGTTTACAGACAAAGGAGGATGTCATATACCTTTCCCTTATCTGAAACTGTGTGTGTTTTCAGAATCCCAGCTGAGACTCCTGAGCAGCCCAGGTCACCTGCTTCTAGGGTCGCCAATGACAAGGCGGACTGCTTCCTGGGCTGTGGCATGCACCCTCAGCAGGCCACCTGGGCTGGCTCGTGGCCACTCGAGCAAACAGTCTCAAGAAAGCCCAGAACATATGCCCCATTTGTGACCCGGACCCAGACTGGTTCTTGCTCAGCAGGGCAGGTTCCCAGGCACACTGCCTTCCACCACAGGAAAGCAGATCTGCCAGAAAAGCCCTGCTCCTCCTCTGCCCGGCCCCTTCCTCCCGGTGAGTGTTCGGGCTGGATCAAAGTAACTCTGATTAACACTGTTTCCATGAACAACTTACCATTTATATCTAATTACCATATGGCAAAATAATGATTATGCATATCATTGAGTATGTGCCAGATTAATTGTGCTGTTCATTGTTATTTGATTATGACAATCATCTAAACTATAATCAGGATAACTTTCATCCTCCATGACTATTTCAAGGTCATCCACTTAACAGTTTAAAAACAAGAGAATATTGCAAGGCAGCAGTCTTGGGAAATAAGGTCTATTTCTAAAGCCAGTGTTTAATAATAATAATGATAAGGAATTCCCTGGTGGTTCAGTGGTTAGGACTCCACGCTTCCACTGCAAGGGGCCCGGGTTCAATTCCTGGGCAGGCAACTAAGACCCTGCAACTCATGTAGCTCGGCCAAATAAACTTTGGGAAAAAAAAGTTTTAAATACTTTAACTTTAAAAAATAATAATGGCAGATACATTTGGGGTCCACCAGGGGAGACCTAATGATATTTCATCCTCACTGCAGTCCTGAGAGGTATGTATGCAGGTCAGGAAGCAACAGAACTGGACATGGAACAACAGACTGGCTCCAAATAGGAAAAGGAGTACGTCAAGGGTGTATATTGTTACCCTGCTTATTTAACTTATATGCAGAGTACATCATGAAAAACCCTTGACTGGAAGAAGCACAAGCTGGAATCCAGATTGCCGGGAGAAATATCAATAACCTCAGATATGCAGATGACCCCACCCTTATGGCAGAAAGTGAAGAGGAACTAAAGAGCCTCTTGATGAAAGTAAAAGAGGAGAGTGAAAAAGTTGGCTTAAAGCTCAACATTCAGAAAACTAAGATCATGGCATCTGGTCCCATCACTTCATGGGAAGTAGATGGGGAGACAGTGGAAACAGTGTCAGACTTTATTTTTTTGGGCTCCAAAATCACTGCAGATGGTGAAATCACTGCAGCCATGAAATTAAAAGACGCTTACTCCTTGGAAGAAAAGTGATGACCAACCTAGATAGTATGTTAAAAAGTAGAGACATTACTTTGCCAACAAAGATCCGTCTGGTCAAGGCTATGGTTTTTCCATTGGTCATGTATGGATGTGACAGTTGGACTGTGAAGAAAGCTGAGTGCCGAAAAATTGATGCTTTTGAACTGTGGTGTTGAGAAGACTCTTGAGAGTCCCTTGGACTGCAAGGAGATCCAACCACTCCATCCTAAAGGAGGTCAGTCCTGGGTGTTCATTGGAAGGACTGATGCTGAAGCTGAAACTCCAATACTTTGGCCACTCATGCGAAGAGCTGACTCACTGAAGAAGACTCTGATGCTGAGAGGGATTGGGGGCAGGAGGAGAAGGGGACGACAGAGGATGAGATGGCTGGATGGCATCACCGACTCGATGGGCATGGGTTTGAGTAAACTCCGGGAGTTTGTGATGGACAGGGAGGCCTGGCGTGCTGGGATTCATGGGGTCACAAAGAGTCAGACACGACTGAGCGACTGAACTGAACTGTCCTGAGAGGTATGGATTGGTTTCCCTGTTTCATAAGGGAAGGGACTGTGGGTGGGCATGTATGTTAACAGTTAACAGAAAGAGTCTGAACTGAATGGAAGGAGAAAGTGGTGAGACCAAGGCTCCCTAGAACCTGGCAGAGAAAGCTGCATAAAGCAGGCCACAGCCAGTGAGCAAAGAGAAAGATGAAGAAACGCTTTACCCCATCAGTGGCTGTAAGATGATATTGTGAGGGCCAATATAAACAGGCAGCAACAACCTAATGCCTTAGTAAGATAGTCCACACCCACTCACTCTGTACAAAATCCTGAATTAAGCAAGTTTACTATTATGGGGAATTATTTCTGTGTCCAGTAACAAAATCAATTTCCTTCATTCCTTATTTTGTATTCTTTTGTATGTACAAGAAGTTCAGTTTTCTAAGAAGGTTAAGATCGTAATACTAAGCAGGTAATGTTTGCTTAGTTTTATAGTTCTCTGCCACCCACAGCAAAAGACAGTCAAAAGTATATTGGAAAAAAAAAAATCCAGCCATTATTTCCTATTATAAAGAAGGTAACAGAACTATGGTTAATGTGAGGTATTTATGTAGAAATCCAAGGACTCTAATACTTTCCCTCAAGTATACATGACATTATGATACGTGACAGATTTTTCAGTAGGGTAACTAGGAATCAGATGAGTTCAAATCCTAATTTCATTCCTTAATGATAGTGTGAGCTGGGGTTAGAAACTTCACCCCTCTGAACCTCAGTTTTCCTATCTGTAAAATGGGAGTAGTAATTCCCACCTCATGGAATACTGAGGAATTCAATGGTATAATATAGGCAATGAAATTATCAGCATAATGCCCAGGCATTTACTCAACAATTTTTTGTTATTATTATCACATACTAAATGGTGTATTTATAGATCTCAATCATTCCAAACAAAAGTATTAAGATCAAATAAGTAAATTCAAAATACCTCAAGGGTTACAAAAGAGAAACTTGCTTGACGGTAGCCTTTCAGAATGTTCTACTTACCCATAAATACATGAAATATCAATGACCACATCGATCATGTCACAGCAGAGCTCGTACGTTTGCATATCCACAGGGGTACTATCTGTTGCAATATAAATCTTACTGACCACATCAAAGAGAAACGCCTTTTCAATTCCAGAATTCTGAAACAAAAAGGAGATTCTGCCTTAAAAGGATAGCTGGTTTTAGAGCATGGCATGGTTATATAAAATGATAGGACATCCTTAGTCTCAAATATGAACTAGCAAAAATTTTGGTTGTTCCATTTTATTACAGTTTAAACCTCATTATCATGAACATCTTTATAATGGATTTACTTAAGAAATGAAAACTGAAATTATCACACAAATTTTACCAATTTTAAATTAAAAAGTAGACTTTAAAAGTCTAAGCAAACAAACTCAAAATTGTGCAGTGAGAATCAATGTGAATACAACTAAAGGTCTGTGGTAATTCTACTTTGAGCTGGTAGTTTTTAGGACTCAGCCAGCCACCATATCATTTATTCACAGTGTTAAACAGATTTTTAAAAATTCAACAGCATATATCTTATAGCCAAAATCAACTTTTATGCCCTCTACCTCTAACAGGACTCTTTTAAAACTGAATGATTGCCTACAGCTTCAATAAACATTCCGACTATACCAGTGAAGTATAGGAACTGTTTGGGGAGTTAAATTTTAACGGACCTAAAACAGTATGTAGGCACGATCTTCAAGTGTAATATTTCAGAGACCTTGAAGTACTGTCAGACCAAGTAGAAATAAGATTGTTTTCACTTGTACAATGTTATTCTTAAATTCCACGAACGACTCTAATGGGATAATATTATTTACTTACTGAGATAAAGATGTTTAGCAAATTCTCCAGGGTGGGAAGTTGTGGAATCAGTTTCTGAACCACTTTGCTAAAAGCTTCAAATATTGAATGGTCATATATGCTTGTCAGATAAAAGCTGAAAGATGAAACAGTATTTCATCACTTTCTACCTTTGACTGAGGAACAGGCTGTTCAGACTATGTCATAACACCAGTATCATGCCTTCTGTATTTACTAGAGCTCTTAGACACACATTCTAGTCCCTGTAGAAGTCAAAACCACCTTGGTAAAAAATGGACATGAGAATTCCCTGGTGATCCAGGGGTAAGGACTGTACTTTCACTGCCAAGAGCCAGGGTTCAATCCCTGAGTGGGGAGCTAAGTTCCCAGAAGCCATGCAGCGCAGCCAAAAAGAGAACTTATCTTAACAAGACATTTCTGTCCAACTCCCCCAAAGCAAGAACTGTGTCTAGTCTCTGCTGACTGGCTGGACCAGAAGGCTTAAAAATGCAGATGCATGTGCCTCTATCAGCTTCCTTACATTCTCCAAGGGAATCTGCACTAATCATCTTTATACACATCTCCCACGTTATAGCAGCTACATTACTGATACTGAAGTACCCAATCTTTTCATTTTTCTAATTTGCCAAATGAATGATGCATACATACTACCCCACAAAAATTATAGAGAAGTGGCTTTCCTCTGTGAATATTTATTTCTTTTCGGTTTTTAAGGATTCCTTATGATTATAGATACTACCTATAATAGTAAACCTTAGCATCGATTAACTTCCTGGATGCAGTGTATGTATGGGTTTTCTCTTCTGTGACTTTCATATGAGGAAGGCTTAGCTTTGATCTTTGGTCAAAAAAAAAAATTTTATAACCCCAATGCTTTTCTGAAATCTTGGAGTTAGCACCCGCAAAGCTCACTTTTCCCAAATACTATCCTGATGTCTACAGCACCAAACAGGGTACACGGGTCAGTGGCTGTCCGTGCCAACTGCTCACGGCGACTGTGGGACCCTCGTGACCCGTGCAGCGTTTCTCTTCTCACCTGAGGTGAATTTTTTCTAGCCCGGCATCTGCAAGGTCATCATTGGCCCTCTGGTGGATGTCCCTCTGGGTTTCAATTTTGTGGTCATCTGACAGGCCATCCACTTTGTGGATGAACACCTCGAAGTTGATGTCGGTGTTGACTTTGTAGGCCCTGGTCACGGTGAGGTGGAGCCTGGCCAAGGCCTCCATGTAATCGTCCTGAGAAGAGAGCACAGGCGGGTCAGGGAGACCTCTCTGGGCGTCCGCCTTCTGGGCGGCCTTCCAGCCCCCCGCCTCGCCCCACCCCCAGCCTTACTGAGGTATGACTGACACGCACCGCGTGGATTTAAGGGCCACGGCACGTTTTGATATACCCACGGTCGACGGCTACTGTGGGGGCACCGGGCAGAGTTGAGTGGTTCTCCTCTGTAGAAACGCCTCAGAGATAGCACAGCCTGCAAACCTCAAATCATGACCATCTGACCCTTTTTAAAAAGTCTGCTGACCCCTGGGGTCCACAGGAACTGCCCCAAATAACACAACGCTGTTTTTTTCCTCCTTCTACAGATGATACCCATACAATAACACAACGAAGGCCTGTGTGTATGCATCTCTCTGTTTGAGAAGTCAAACAGTAGACATCAAAGCCCCGTGTTTCTCCCCATCCTGCCAGCCAAGCCCATCACTCTATACCACACGCCCCAGAGGTAACCAGTACCCTGACTTCTGCCTTCAGCATCACCCACCTCTTTATACATTACTATTAAGACATACCTATGTATCCTCAAACAATATACAGAATTAATTTACATTATTTAAAAATTTACAGCAATATCAACGTGCCTGCGGATTACAGTTCGCCTTCTCCGTGCCCATTATGTCAGTGAGATTCACCTTTGTTGAAGCACATAACGAATGCGTGATTCCTAGGAACAGTTCTATAAAATTCCATTGTGGATGGTCTATAATTTGTCACCTACCTGCCTGTTGATGGACATTCAGAATGCTTCCAGTTATGTGTGAGATCAGGAAGATGACAATGTGGCCAGTCTCACACCCAAATCTCTGTGCCTGTTTCTCTCTTAGGGCTTCCCCTGAAGTCAGGCTTGTTGGGTCAAAGGACTGAGCACTTTGAACTCAACTAGATACCATGGAACAACCCCTGCTCCTCCAGACTCTCACCAGCACCCAGGGTTGTCAGATCTCTTCATCACCGCCAACCTGAAGGGTGTGAATATGTCTCGGTTTTTTGGGGTTTTTTTTCCCCTGGCTTCATGGCTTACAGGATCCAGTTCCCCAATCAGGGATCAAACCTGTGACCCTGGCAGTGGAAGCTCAGAGTCCTAACCACTGGACAATTGGGGAATTCCCCAATAGGACTTGTTTTTATAGCAAAAAGGAAAGGGATCTTCAGAACAACATTTAAAGGAGTTTTCACCCCCTCATTCTGACTCCAAAACAGGACAAATGAAGAAAAGTCAATAAAACAGGGGCTGTTTTGGGGCATTCTTGTATTCCCCAAACTAATTAATAAAAATGTAGCCCTGTGTATGTGTATGTGTAGCTGAGTCCCTTTGCTGGCCACCTGGAACTATCACAACAGTGTTAATTGACTATAATATAAAAAAAGAAGTTAAAAAAAAATACAGTAGCTGCCCCATTCTGCATTCCTACCAGCAGTGTAGAAGTTTCAGCCGTTCTCCATGTTTCCTAACACTTGGTATTACCAGTTGGGTGGTTTGTTTTTGTCTTTTTCAATTTTGGCCATTCTCATTGGCATGGGGTGGTATCTCATTGTAGTTTTGATTTGCATTTTCCTAATAACTAGTGATTCTGAGCATCTTTACACGTGCTCACTTGCTAACTGTATGTCTGGTTTGGCCATGTGTCTATTAAAATACTTTGTCCATTAAAAAAAAAATGCATCCCCAGTCTTTAGATAAATCAAAATACTAAGATACTAACAGGAAACTATGAAGGGAGAAAAAGACCAGTCATCATCATCCTTCACATTCTAAAGAGCTGTTTAAAATGAAAAATAAACACTGGACGCTGTGGTGTGGTTTAGCCACGTCTGACTCTCGCGACCCCTTGGACTGTAGACCACCAGGCTCCTCTGTCCATGGGATTCTCCAGGCAAGAACACTGGAGTGGATTGCCATTTCCTCCTTCAGGGATTGGATGCTGGGCTAAGCATTTTGGAGAAATTCTAGTTTAATAATTTGGGGCACTTTCTTAACACATTATAATATCTCAAATAAAAAACAAAGTCATGATTATACAATTCCACATATAGAAATTCTAGACAAGGCAAACTTCTATAGAGACAGAAAGCACATCATATCAGCCTGAGGCTGGAACCTGGGCAGGGTTGGGGGGTACATCTGAGAAAGGCCACAAAGGAAGCTTTCAGCAAGGTGGAAACATTCTTAAAGTCGGAAGGTGGTTAGAAGGTATATAGTGGTTGAACTGTGCACTAAAAATGAATGTAACTTGGGACTTTCCTGGTGGTCCAGTGGTTAAGAATCTGCCGTGCAGTGTAGGGGATGTGGGTTCAATCCCTGGTCAGGGAACTAAGATCCCACGTGCTGCAACCAAGACCCGATGCAGCCAAGTAAATATGTGGTTAAAAAGTGAGTGCCATTCACTGTGTGGAAGTTACACTTCAACGAGTGTTATTGGTTACGTCTCCAACTGAAGAGAGGCGTGAAGGGCATGTGTCTGTAAGCAAAAGCAGCCAACATCAAGAGTGTATCATGATCTCAAGAGACTAGAAATCATTCCTCTAACCTCCCTGCCAAGCGCATGAAATGGTCTGATTACCAGCAAACTGATGAAGTGACACAGATCTACAAGAGCTAAAAAATGACATGACAAAGAAGAAAACATCTGATGACTAGAGCAGAGAGACAGTGAGTGATTTTTTTCTCCTACTGTGCTTGTTATCTTCTACAACAAATTTTAAAAAAGGAAAAACACATTGCCTGGCTCCTATTCTAAAATTAGATCTAGGGATTACGGGCAGGTCACAACCGCAATCACCAACATGAGTTAAGCCAACACTCTAGTCTGGACCCCAAGCACCTGTGAAGTCGCTCCCGGGGCAGGGCGGGGGTGCTTCCCTGGGCGCTCAATGGCAAAGAGTCCGCCTGCCCGTGTAGGAGACACAGGTTCAAGCCCTGGTCTGGGAAGACCCCACAGGCCACAGAGCAACTAAGCCAGCGCGCCACAACCACTGAGGCTGCGCTCTAGAGCCCGTGATCGACAACAAGAGAAGCCGTCACACCACGGCTAGAGAGCCGCCCCCCACCCCAGTCTCTGCAACCAGAGAGCCCGGCAGCAGTGCAGACACAACACAGCCACGTAGTATGATTATTGAAAAAAAGAAGCGACAGCTCCTGGGGTGGGGGGCGGGGGCCTGGAGACGTGCCACGTTCTGTGGGCGGCCCGGGGCGGGCGGTTCACGGGACATCACTCCTGATGCTTTCGCTCTCTTCCATTTTACAATGCTATGGGAGGACACATTTTTCTCCTTGGTGATATATGTATCTGGCAACCCTGCGATTGTGAGGAATTCACAAGCAAAAAATAAAACTAGGAGGTGTCAGACAAACAGAGTCCTGCTTAGAGCCCTGCGCCGACCTTCAAGAGTTGCTGAGATACTTTCCTCCAGTTCGGTTTTGTCTAGTGTTTGCAATCACAACAAGTAAAGATCCCCACAAATGGGACTTTTTACAGTCTGCTTCCAACAGAGAAGTCTATTAGGCAGACTTGAAAACTGCTTTGTTAAAGTTAAATATTCCTTATTTTTAGTAAATGACAGCTTTTAACAATGCTTTTCGCTATCTTTTAAGAAGTGTAACTTCAAAAGCTGTATTTCTTACTCTTACTCATTTCGTTGCCCTGTGGCCGGAACAAAACCCAGCAGGCCAAGAAACAAAACAAAGAACACATTCACCAGCCCCACTGAGAGTCCACTTTTCACGCTCAGGCCAAATTAAAACCGAATTACAGCTGCAGCTTAAAGAACAGGCAAGAAAACCCCTAAAAACAGAACATAAAAATTGGCAAGTGTGGGAAAGAGAGGCATAAATCCGGAATTTGGGATGAACATATACACACTCGCAGTCCTGTCTGACTCTCTGTGACTCCGTGGACTGGGGCCCCCCAGGCTCCTCCGTCCAGGGCACTTCCAAGGCAAGAATACTGGAGTGGGTTGCCATTTTCCACTCCAAGCTCTCTTCGCAACCCAGGCATCGAACTGATGGCTCTTGCATCTCCTGCATTGGCAGGCGCCACCTGGGAAGCCCAACATATACACACTGCTTTATATAAAACAGATAACCAACAAGAACCTGCCGTATAGCACAAGGAAGTATGTTCAAGATTCTGTAACAACCTAGAAGGAAAAGAATCTGAAAAAGAATATATACATATATATTCTTTAATATATATCACCCGAAGCTAATACAATATTGTAAATTAACTATATTTCAATTAAACCAAAAAGGGGAGATTACTGAGGCAATAAAAACACCCTAAACAATGTTTTTATTTATTAAAACACATTATCACATTAAAGCTGTATTATCAACACCTGAGACAGAGGTGCACTGGCAATTCAAATCCCATAAGTGTAAGTTGTATGTATACACAATCTGGTACTGATGTGAAGTGCTTCCTGAGCCTCAGTCCTGAAGTGACGCGTCAGGGCTGGAATCTACTTACCCAGGGGCAGGGCCACTAGTGCCAACACCCCATGCAGCAGCCGCAAGACTCGGCGAGAGAAGGGGCTGAGAGGGGACAGAGGAGCGGGACAGCCCGGGAGCCCCACTCCCCACGAGTGGCTCGTCCACCGCTCGGCCGCTCCTCTTGGGCTTTAAGCTTCCTGACTTCTGGTGCTGGCCAACCTCAGACAGGAAGAAGGGGATACTGCCAAAACCACAGAGGAGCCAGGAAACAGGTCAGGATGAGCAGGACAGCCAGCAAAGTGTGGCTCCCAGCAGCGCCTGGACCCAATGAAGGTGCTGCTGGTAAGTCGATTCAGTCGTGTGCGACTGTGTGACCTCATAGACGGCAGCCCACCAGGCTCCCCTGTCCCTGGGATTCTCCAGGCAGGAACACTGGAGTGGGTTGCTATTTCCTTCTCCAATGCATGAAAGTGAAAAGTGAAAGTGAAGTCGCTCGGTCGTGTCCGACTCTTTGCGACCCCATGAACTGCAGCCTACCAGGCTCCTCCATCCATGGGAATTTCCAGGCAAGAGTACCGGAGTGGGGTGCCATTGCCTTCTCCGAATGAAGGTGCTAGAGGCGCGCATCTCTAGATGGGCCCACAGGAAGAGAGGCATGGCTGTCCATGGATCAGATATTGGAATGGACAGCCTCCCTAGCCCACTACCCCACACACAAAGGAGAAAAAGAACTTCTAACCATCCAGCCATGCTCCCACGGCTCTACAAGTTCACCGTGCAGTCACTTGGAACTAAAAGGCTGAGTTGCAAATTTCATTATTACATTAAACAGGCACCTCGATCCATGAGTGAGTTTACAATGCTTTCAGGCATGAGCAGTCTTGTCCGAGAATAGTTTTGTAAGCATGGACTCAGAGCCATTATTACCGATGGTCTTCACAGCCCTTCCTTCCCAACACGACTGGGCTTGCAAGAGGCTCAGCCCCACCTGTCCATTTGCAGGTCTACAATTTCAGGCAAACATTGAGACCTGAGCTTAGAGTTGGTTTAGGGCATTCCTGTAGGACTTGTTACCTTTTAATCCCCTACAGCTGCGAAAGAGAGCCCTTGGGAGGGCCTTCTGGCTGGCCCACCGCCGGGGAAACTTTCTAAGAGCAACTACACGTGGAATGGTTTGAAAACATCAATGTCAGTGCCCCAGTCTGCTAACGGTGCCCCTTCCTAAGACTGACCTGCCTGAGACGCATTTCCAGTCCTGCTGTTTCCCTCTCCTCCTGCCCTTGCACCATCAGCCCCCTCCCCCACTTCACAGGAGGATGGCCCAGGGTACCAAAGAGACCATTCAGAAGGCTGGCCTGAATACCAATAAAGTGAGTGACTTTCAAGCCTGGGTGATAAGGTTCTTCTCTAGACAGGCGGCTCCCAATTCTTTGCTTTCAGCAAAGTTAAAATGAAAATACAATCAGGAATGTCTACTGATAAACCACAAAAAATATTTTTTTGTGTGATAGAAAATCAGGTAACCTAGGGGATACAACTTGGAAGGAATTTAAATAACTGAGTGAATGCTAGAGCAAAAATCACCCCATAGCCACCTTATGTGAACAAGGTTTTCAGTACAAACAGAAACCAAAAATAGAACTGATGCTAAATCCTTAGTCAAGCACAGATACACAGATTGAGTAGAAAAAAACATATGTATCTCAAACTTCACATTTTGCATTTAGTTACCTCTGAAATACATGCTAGTCACGCTGCCTTAACGGTGTACTAGTAGGAACTGCAATAGTTTGATTCAGAAGAAAAATGTTCACACTCAGAGAACTTTATCTTCACAGGAAATAGTAAACACTTTGAAATGTAGCTAATCATGTACTTTTGTTACAGAGAACCTGTGATCTTTCAGAGATATCTGCCAAGAGTACCTGCTTTCAGTGGCCATCACGGTTGTCCCCTCCCGCCGGGATGTCCTCTTTAGGCTTGCCGAGAGCACACAGTTCCCGAACACTGCTTGTGGTCAGGGCTGCGTGTAGGGAGATTTTTCTTCCCCTTTCCAAAGCCAGACAGCCACAGCTGAGAAATGCTAGTCTGGTAGAAATGCCTACTCCTGACCCGAAAACCCAAACCCAAACGATCGCAAAGGGTCGGGCATTGCAGTCCCACCAGACACCAAGATGGAGCCTTACCTGGGAGTCTATTACAAATATCAGTGCTCCAGTCCCTCGGAAGATCATCTCATAGTCAAAGGTGGGGTCAAAAAAGTCAATCTGTCCTGGGAAGTCCCATATCTGAAAATTAACAAAGGAGCTGTTGGAAACGTCCTCCCGGCAGATCTTGTTCGTGCTCTCCAAGAACAGAGTTTCGTTGGGAGACATTTTATGAAAGACGACTTTCTGGATGGATGACTTGCCACTCCTTCTCAGGCCCATGAGCAGGATCCTCGGCTTTACCTCCGTGCTGAAGGGGTCGCTAAAGTCCAGAACTGGGAAAACCACAGAACAAGAAGGAAGGTGAGAGGCTGTCACAGTGGTTAGTGAGAGGAGTTTCACTTCCGCCTTACACACCATTTATGACCCACAGACAAAACTGCCTTTTCAAATACAGAAAGAGCAAACTCCATCACTCCTTCATCAAGAGGCTAGCTTTTAGCAAGTGAAAAACCCTGAAAAATGCTGCATCTCCATCTCTCACACCATCTCAGAGGGCCAGAAAACCTGGGCAATTCCCCATCACAAGCAGGAACTCTAGTGTGTGAAGACTGGAGGTTTCCTGGAACAGACTATATAGGGAAAGAATCCATCTTAGCATTCCAGAGTAAAGTCCTTCTTTGCCGAGATCATCAGTGTTTGCTAAAGAGACGCCTGCTTATTTGAATTATGCCTCAAAGAAACAATTTTGGACTTCATCAAAATTTAAAACCTTGTTGCTTCAAAGGACACATCAAAAAGTGAAGACAATCCAGAGTAGCAGAAAACATTTGCAAATCATATATATGATAAGGGTCTAGTAACCAGAATATATAAAGAACTCTTACAATTCAACAATAAAAAGATAATCCAATAAAAATGTGTAAAGGATTTAAATAGACATTTCTCCAAAGATACACATACGCCTATTAAACACATGAAAAGATGCTCAACATCATTAGTCATAAAGGCAATACATGTGGAAAAAATGTGATGCCACATCATACCCCACTAGGATGGGTTAAAAAAGATTGACAATAGCAAGTGTTGGTGAGAATGTCAGGAAATGGGAACTCTCATACGCTGCTGGGGATAACATAAAATGGTGTGCTTTGAAAAAACAGTTTGGCAGGTCCTCAAAAGCTTAAACATTGAGTCACCATATGACCCAGCAATTCTAGTCCTAGAAGTAAAGAACTTACATATGTCCAAGCAAAAATCTGTACATGAGTGTTCAGAGCAGCACTACTCATAATAGCCAAAAAGTAGGAACAATCCAAAGGCCATCAGCTGAAATATGAACAAAATGTGGCATGCCCATATAATGGAATATTATTCAGCCATTAAAAAGGAATGAAGTATTGATTCGTGCCACATGATGAATGTTGAAAATGTTATGCTAAATGAAAGAAGACATAAAAGGTCACAAACTTTGATTCTGTTTATATGAAAAGTCCACAACAGACAGATTCATAAAGACAGAAGGTGCTTCATGGTTGCCAGGGGCTGGAGAGCAGGGGAAATGGGAAGTGACTATAATGGTTATGTGTTTTCTTTGGGGTGATGAAAATGTTCTGGAATTAAACAGCAGTGATGTTTGCATCCCTTTGTGAATATACTAAAACCACTGATCTATATACTTGAAAAGGCAAATATTGTGGTATGTGAAATATATTCCAACTTTAAAAAAAAACAGCTTCATGACTGACAAAAATAAAAGAACAAGTATAAAACACAGTGAAAGATCAAGAAAAGAAACCAACGTTTTAAGAAAAAGGCAGAACATAGACAAAGATAGAAATGTGGCATTCACGAAACAAGGACAGTTCAGAAAAAGAGCAGTTATGGAAAAGGGTCTTAATGGATCTCAGAAACAGAAACGTAATTGGCAGGAGGGGAGGATATATGAATTGAAAAGCAGAATAAGCAGATGAACACGGCATCAGGAAAAGTCAAAGTCTCTCAGAACACAGTACAAAGGGACAGAACAATGGAAAGTATGAAGTAAAGGTAAAAGTGACATCAAGAATAAAATTTGAAAGTCCCATTATTCTTCAAACAAGTTCCAAAAAGAAAAATTACAGAATATGGGGGAAAGCAATACTAAATAGATAATCCTTTTCCAATTAAAATGAACATGCCCACAAAGTAAAAAAGAGAAATTTAAACAAAAACATCACCACACGAAGAATAATTATAGTAAAACTTCAAAACATCAAGGATAATAATAAAGTCCTTAAAACTATGAAAAGAGGAAAACTATTACCTACAAAGGAATCATAAAGACTTCAGACTTTTTAACAACATGAATGAAGAGGAGAGTATCATACATCAAGGACTGAAGGAAAATATCTTTCACCCCAGATTTATATACCCAGTCATACTATGTCTCAAATGTAGGAGTGCAACATAGATGTTTTCCAGGAATTCCCTGGCAGTCCAGTAGTAAAGACTGCAAGTTTCCACTGCTGGGAGGCCCAGGGTTTGATCCCTGATTTGGGAATTAAGATCCTGCAAGGCTCATGGTACAGCCAAAAAAAATAAAAAGACGTTTTCAGACATCAAAGGGCTCTGAAAGCTTACTGCCTACTTAATCTCTTTGAAAGAATTACTCAAGGATACACTCCTGAAAGAAAATACACTCAAATATAGTAAACTGCAATAAGCAATGGAAGACAAATTTTATTAAAACCTATTAATTTAAAATAAGTTTTGATTTTAAATTTTGGAATAAAAAATTGGAAACTAAAATTCCAGACAAGGCAGACATGGGAGATTGGTGAGAGGGGACAGAAAGTAACAGAATAGTATGGTTCTTGTTAGAAAAGCACAGTTGCATATCAATTTTTTATTTTATTTTTTTTTCAATTTTTTAAAATAGAAGAATAAGCTTCTCAAAATATAAAACAGGTGCATCACATTAAATTATGTATGACCACAAAAATATTTCAGTGCTTATAGATGTCTTCATCTCTTCTCAGTTTATACTGCTGGATGTAGGTGCAGATTTTAACTTCTCTTCAGCAAGGTCTGCAAGACTCTATGTGGCATGATCACTGACAGTGCTGCCCTGGAGGCGGGCTCTCTTCCTCCTGGGGGAATGTGGAGGTGATGGAGACCATTGTGGAAAGGGGAGGGAATGTGCATGTGTGTTTACATACACAGAGTGGCTGGGAAGTGAAATATACATATGGTTATAATACACACACACAGCTGGAAGCATCTCCTTCTCCTGGCCAAATTCAAGCATGCGCCGCCAACTACAAACAGCTGGGAATGGTGAGTCAGATCAGCAAGTGCACCATCAACTCTGTAGAGACCTCTACACTGACCCCCAGGCAGATGCATTTTATCATAGTTAACTATGGCTGTTCAGTTGCTAAGTCGTGTCCAGCTCTTTGCAAGCCCAGGGACTGTAGCCCTCCAGGCTCCTCTGTCCCTGGGATTTCCCAGGCAAGAATACTGGAGTGGGTTGCCATTTCCTCCTCCAGGGCAGGCTTCCCGGGTGGCGCTAGTGGTAAAGAATCTACCTGCCAATGCAGGAGACACATGAGACAGGTTCAATCCCTGGGTCAGGAAGATCCCCCTGAGGAGGAAATGGCAACCCAGTCCAAGTATTCTTGCCTGGAAAATGCCATGGTCAAAGGAGCCTGGCGGGCTACAGTGCCTGGGGTCGCAAAGAGCTGGACACGACTGAGCACACACACTGGAGGGCATCTTCCCGACCCAGGGACGAAACCCACGTCTCTGGCATTGGCAGGTGGATCCTTTCCCACTGAGCCACCTTGGAAGCCCGTATTTAACTGTCATGTACCGTAATACACTGTGTGCCAGGGACCTTGCTAGACACGTCTACAAACTTTACCCACCCAATGAGGAAGAACAAGTCTGTTCTACCCCTACTTGGGGCAATGAACCGGCCCCAGGTCACAGGACTGGTATGTACTAGCGCCCTGATCCAGGGCCTTAGCCACCAATCAGCTGGCATTCAACTAAAACTGCAACGAAGACAAAAGACAGACTAGAAAATACCAGAGTGTGTTATGCATGACAAGAGTAAACGCTGCCAGGGAAACTCTTACATTTACTTATACGTAGGTGGGTGCTGTTTCACAATATAAATGCATTTTTTTTTATTGTGGACCCACGGTCAGAAAGTTGTGTATGCCACTGCTGTTGATCAGGGGAGGTTTCTTACATCAGAAATGCCTGCTGACGAGACTACCCTGGTGGCCCAGTAGTTAAAAGACTCCACATTTTCACCGTAGGGGGAACGAGTTTGAGCCCTGCTCAGGGAACTAAGATCCTACATGATGCATGGCTCGGCCAAAAAAAGAAAAGCCTGCTGGCAAAAAATCTTCCTTCTAATCCTCCCCCACTCCCTCAAACATCCCTGCTCTGAAATCCTATGGGGTCTCAGAGATCTCTTTCTACTCTGGGACGGGCAGTCAGGGTCCCATCAGGAAGGGAAACACCCACGGGTCTCTGGCAGAGGGCCGCCCTGCACCCCTCATCACGTTTCCCCGAGCTGCACTCACTTGCTCAAGTTTGGTGAGAATCACCTGAGGAAAGGGAGCCGTTAAAGAGAATGAAGAGCTGCTTTGAACACAACGAGAGGGCCATTATGTATTTCCTTATGTATTTTAAGGAAAACCAGAAAGGAACTACAGAAAAAATCTGGGACTAGAGCTGGGACCCCAGAAAAGGCTCTTTAAAAGTGTCCGTGCGGGTTTGCAGGAAGTTGCCCGAGTGAGGTGAAATTTACAAGAGGGCAGTCTGTTCCATGAAGGTTCCCTGAACGGCTGCCAAGTTCGACAGGGCTGAGCGGGCTGCAGACACAAAGAAAAGCTTCATTTCTTAGTGATTAGAGAGGAAAACACAAGAAAAACCGTCACCTTTACAATGCACTGCTATCTGGGTGTTGTGGGTTCAGCAAGAAGGCTCCCTGGAGAAATCACATCTGAGTCTTCTAGGCGAGGAGGCATAAAAGAGATGCATGAGGGAAAGGTCGTGCCAGGAAGAAATCTGGCCTTCCTGGAGTTTAAGGAACATAGTCTAAAGACAAGAAAATCCTGTCCACTCTCCAGAGGCCTCCCATAGAACTCAGAATAAAATCCAAATGCCTCCTTTCCCTAAAAGGCCCCAGTGGGCTGCCCTCTCATCCCACGCCTGGTTCCTCCTCCCTACCCGTTCCCCCGTCCGGCAGGCTCGCTGGCCTTCTGCTTCATCCCCTGCGGGCCTCCACTCGCTCGGCTCTCCCCAGGCCTCCCCGGGCTCCTCCTCCCACCCAGCCCAG